TTTAGGCAAGCCCGCCGGGCGCAAAGCTGTGTGCGCTAGGTGAGCTTGCAAATGGGAGTCTCTGGTTGGCCCGCGCCGGACGTGACTTGGGCTGCGCCGGGCGCGATATCAATGGTGACATGTTTTGGGTACTCTGGTGCCGCGCTAGGCGCGCATTTGGACTCGCTGGGCGTGGAGGCTCCTTGGGAGTCTCTGCCAAGAGGCGTTGGGCGCAATGCGAATTGCGCCGGGCGCGAGACCTTGGTAGGTCTCTGCCTTCCCCACGCTAGGCGCGGGTTAGGCCACGTTGAGCGCACGAGACTCCTTAGAGTCTCTGCCTGGCAGGCGCTAGGCGCAATTGGAATTGCGCCAGGCGCGTGAGAGCCTTGGACTCTCGGATTGAGTCTCGCCGGGCGCGAGTACTCTTGCGCTGGGCGCGCTGGCCCCTGATGCTCTCGGGTTGAGCCGCGCTGGGCACAAAAGGAGATATTGAAATATATGTTGTTGGCTGTTGAATTGTGCTGAGATTGTTAATCAATGTTGTTATATGCTGAACTAAGTTGTATTTGATGAATATGTTATGATGGCTAGGTGATAGTGCTGAGAAAATAATGTGTAGCTGTGTTAGAGGTATATTGTTGAGCTGAAATCGATGAATTAAAATGTAAAATTTTATAGTATAGTGGAACTATAGAAGGTTGGGCTGAATTGTGAAAAAAATAAGTGTGTTGAATTATTGTGTTGTGCTGTGCTGAGTTGCGTGATATTATAGCCGCTAAGTCGGTGCTGTTATTAGCCACATATGTGGTGCTGTTATAGCCGCTAAGTCGGTGATGTCGTTGCCACTTTGCGGTGCTGTTATAACCACTTGAGTGATGTTGTTATTGCTGCTAAGCAGTGCTGATATTGCTGCATTGCGGTGCTGATATTGTTGAGTGGTATAAGCTGTAGCTGTTGTTTATCATATTGCCATATATTTATATGTTGATTTTTAATTACACTAGCTTACCCTTTGTTGTTTCCATGATGTTTGGACTGCAATGATCATACTATGTATGGGAGCAGAGCAGGGATAGGTGACGGACTAGTGGTGAGTCTTCAGCGGACCGGCGGAGCTGATTTTCTTTTGTGTCTGTTTTGTTGTTGAGCTACTTGGGATAGTAGCATTTGATTGTAATTTTTGTACACTTTAACTCTGTTCAGATTGGACCATGTATATGTATATTCTAGACTCTATATGTATACAATTGTTCTTTTCTATGCGGTGTTTCTAGTGTGCTGTGCCGTGTGTAGTGACCAGTCGGGTCGTTACAATATTCCCATGAAAATATAAGAAATTATGTTTTAATTCACTTGTAGCTTTTTTATATTTTAATTATTTTCAATTTTAAAAAATTCAAAGAAATATTAAGATGCAACCAAATACATTTCTAAATAATAAATGCACCTGAAAATAACATTTAATTAAAATATTATTGAAAATGTGGTTTGACAATGAACTTATAATCCATGAAGAAAAAAAAAAACTCCTCCTTGTAAGTATGCACTATGAATGACAAATAAACTCGTACCCGTGGGTAATATTTGAACCCATCTCAACTTTAACGGGAAATACCCGATTTGACCGAGTACGGTACAGGTACAGGTAAAACCCGATATATTAAACTGGATATGGATACGGGTATATACATATCTGTCCCGTCCCCGTCCTCGATTTAATTGTGTTAATAAATTTTAATATTTTATTATGTGTAATTATTTATTATAATGTGAAACATTTATAGTTGTTTAATTATTAAGAAGTCTCTTGATTAAAATAAGAGATAGAGAAATAATCTAATTATAAAAAATCTAATTATAATTGTAATATAATGAAAAAATAATTTAAAAATATAGTATTTTTTTTTGCAAAAAAATAATAATTTTTGACGGGTACGGGTATGGATACAGGTATACCCGATACTTGATGGAGACAAAGATGATGACGAAAATTATATATCTAACAAGTACGAGTATGAGTACGAGGATGAGTTTGAGTCGTGAGAACGGAGACGGGTATTATAAAATCCACACTCGACCCAGCCTGTTACCATTCCTAATATGTAAAAGTCTTTCTAGAACTACCAAGATTCACTAGTAGAATGTTGTCATCTAGAGTAGATAACAATAAAAGAAACTTAGTTTAATTATATTAATTGTGAATAAAAAAACATTTATATACAGATATTTAATAAAAATTAACTACTTTATTCATTAATAAAATGTGAGAATAAACTTAACTTTTATTTGATTTTTGTATAAAACTACATTACATTAATATTTTATATAAATGAAACTTTTTAATTTACCAAAATCAGGAATTACTAGTATACAATTGTGATAATATACTAAACTTTCGTACTAATGCACATGTTTTAGACTTAGTAGATTCTAAATCACCAAACCTGGATGAATTTTATTTTATTTTTAAAATAAAATAATAATTGACATTAACACATTTTTCTTAGTAATAATTTTTCTTTTTTTATTCGTAGTAAATTTTCTTTTGATTTTTTAAACATATTTATACAATTTTATAGAATGTATTAATATATATTTTTTGCAATACCCAAGATTTTTTTAATTTGATTTGATTAACATCGACATATATATAAATTTAAGTAAAATTTTAAAAATAATTTTGTTTACATAGAACAATAAATATTTCTATTATTAATAATGAATACCTATTAGATTAGATATATATAATACACAAAAGTTGATTTTTTTTTTGTAAAATACATTATTTAAATCAATATATGCTATGTTTATTGATATAAATTTCAAATCGTAAAAAGTTATATACTTTATTTAGTTTATCCCGTGAAAACAATATATTTAATTTAATATCATATGTCGAGATTCAGCTTATAAAAGTGAAAAATCCAGCAAATTGTTTTAACATAATCAATGATCTCTTAAATATGAATATCAAGTTTTGGAGAAAAAGTTTTATCCTCTATAATTATTACATTTGACTCAAACATGATTATATTTAATAAAATATATATATATATATATATATATATATATATGATCTTTAAAAAATAAAATTAAATATTGAATAAATTTTAATTATTTTTAAGTAATAATAATTACTAGGATTAGCCTAATGATTGGATGGGAAAGAATTGAGATAATTAGAAACATGAAGACTAGATTTAATCCTTATTATGACTATTTTTATGATTTTTTCTATTTTTCTAAAAGAAATTGTTTTCAAGTAATAATGCTTGAAAAGTAAGAAATAAAAACAAATATTTAATATGAGAAAATTATATAATTTAATAAAAAGGTAATTATTAAAAACACACTTGTGTAGACATAAAATTCATTTTTTAAAAACAATTACAAACGGTTAGTGAGTCAAACAAATTTAATAATTGTTATTTTTTTTTGCTTAATTTTAGCCAAAACTAATTATTACCTTTTCTTAATAGTTACCAAAATTAATTATTATTTTTATCCGTCTATTTTACTTTTGTTGAATTTTTCTGTCATCTAATTTATCTTTACAAAATAACATATTACTATAAATTTTATCTTTTATTAGTGTAAAAGTGGCACTTTAATTTTCTATATTTAAAAAAATAAAAATAATAATAGAAATATACAAAATAATAGAATAAGTGATTATTTAAGATGTAAAAGTAATTTAAAGAAGAGAATGTAAATGAGTGTTAGAGGTAGTTATAAATTATAAGGATAAAATAATTTAACAATTGTGTATTCAAAAAATATGTGTGTTCCATGGAAAAAAAATACTACGAGTGACGGCAATTTTTTTTACTATTAATATCAAAGAATAATCTTTCAATTATGTTAAGAAAGAGTAATATCTGAATAAAAGTATTTGTAATTGAATAAAAAACTTTTTTTCAACCATCTTTTTTTAATATGCACGAATTTCAAGATCAAAATAAAAATTATATACTTTAAATATGTTTGGATATAAATTTAAAAACATTTTTGAAATTTTTTTAATAAAAAATATTCTTTATTTGTAATAATATTTTTAACTTATATCTAATTAGATTCTTTATAAAATTGGATTTTTTTTTTACTAAACAAACACCGATGGTAGACCCCACAACACAAAGTAAATCCATCATAAATAAACAAAGCCGCTAATGCAATACGAAAAGTAAAGAATCTTTGGGTACTCTAATTATCGGTCAATAATTCTCATTAAAAAGATTAATTATTAAAAAAATTGATATCTTAAAAACGGATGACAACAAAATCTTACAAATTATAAATCTTTGTTGAATTTTAATATATTTTAAAATATAAAATAAATAAGGATTAAGAAAAGTTCTGTCAGCAAAAATTTATTTTTAGTCTTTTTATTTTTAAAACGTTGATTTTTTGTCCTCTTTCTAAAATCTATCAAATTTTATTCTAGTGAGAAACTCTATCAATCTAATTTAATTTAACGATAATACTAAATAAATCATCGGACATGTCATATACATATGCTAAGGTCCCAAAATAATAGTGTTAACTGAACATGACTTAAATTAAATTAATGAAGTTAATAATAATGAAAAAATTTGACATGTATTAAAAAATGAAGACCAAAATTTGATGTTTAAATAATGAAAAATAAAAAATTACTTTTTTTTACATATTTATAAAAGACGAAAAATATGATTTAGCAATAAATAATATATTTAATGGGTTAAAAGAATAAAAAATAATTTAAATATATATTTAATAAGTCAAAAGTTTATAAAAAGAAAGAATAATTTGACGATGAAATTGATTCTATGGAAATCTTAAGAAGTAGCCATGATATTCGAAGGCGCGCGTGAGTGTGGGCTTTGCGTTACCCGAGACGAGGGGTTTTGAAAGGAGAGTTGAAGTTAGTTTTTATTGAATAAGAGACGACAGCGTTTGGAGGCAGGTGGGTTTGGATCATAATCCGTGGGGAGAGTTGAAATTCCTAATCTGAACAAATCCAACGGCGGTGATCCCAGCATGTGCAAACTCAAGCGCTTAAGCACCATTCACAGTATCCCTACCCTTCAAAAAAAGATCCCACGAAATAAAAGAATAGAAAACCCCCTTTGGCCTTTACTCGCTTTCTTAATCCAATTTAAAATCCCCTCCGTTATATTCACCAGAATCGCTCCAACATTTCAACCCATGCGTTTCTCCAATAACCAAACTTCTTAGCCAATTCCTTATTTTCTTCGCCAACACCGTGGGATGTCGTCGCCGGGCTTCCCCAACGGCGGACCCTCCGATTTCTACGGCGGACCAGCGGGATTCCCCAGGCGATCCATGGCGCTTCAACCCACCAACACCACCCACCACCCTCTCTACCGAACCCAACCTTCACAGATTTTGCTAGACCCTTCGTCCCACATCGCCCAAACCCAAACACCCAACTTCATCAGGAAACGCACCCTCGCAGAAATCCAAACCCTTATCACCAACACCAACAACAACAACAACAACAACAGCAGCAACAACCTTAACCCACTCCTATCAAACTATCTACTTCGCTCTGTCAAGCCCAGAACTTTCCAACACGTGGATTTCTCCTCACGCGCGCAATTTCACCACCTTCCCCCTAACGCCGTCAATTCACAGACCCAATATTCCATCCTCCCCAACCCTAACGCAAATTTCCCTCCGGTTCACACCAGACTCACCGCACCCCAGGAACCGGACAAGAACTCGATAGACCACCGCTTACAACTACAAGAGTTGGAAAAGCAGCTTCTAGAAGACAACGACGACGAAAACGGCGACGCCGTTTCGGTCATTACCAACTCTGAATGGTCCGACACAATACAGAACCTAATCACACCGCACAAGCCCGCGTCTCCCTCGTCCACTTCCTCTACGACGTCGTCCAACTCCTCAACGACGTCGTCCAACACCTCTTCGATCTGCTTCAAGCAATCCCTAACGGAGGCCGCATCCGCGATCTCGGAAGCCAAATTCGATGCCGCCACGGAGATCCTAAACCGTTTATCTCAGGGTTCCAACCTCAACAAGAATTCGGATCAACGCTTCGTCAATTGCATGGTTTCCGCTCTGAAATCCAGGATGAACCACGTCGAGTATCCACCGCCGGTTGCGGCAGCAGGGAACACGCCGCGTCGACTCAGTTGCTCTTTGAACACTCGCTATTCTTCAAGGTCGCTCTCATGGTCGCCAACATCGCGATTCTCGAATCCGCATTCGACGACAAAGCAGAGAACGCGAGGCTATGCGTGGTGGATTTCGACATCGGGAACGGGAACCAATACGCGAGCCTCCTCCACGAGCTTTCGGCGCGGCGGAAGGGCGCGCCGGCCACCGTCAGGATCACCGCCCTGGGGGACAGCGACGCCGACGAGAGGCTGAAGGCGGTGGGAGAAGTCCTGGGGAGACACGCGGAGCGACTCGGTGTTGGTTTTGAATTCAAAGTGGTGGTGAGTCCGAAACTGGACGAGTTGACTCGCGAGTCGCTGGGTTGCGACCCGGACGAGCCGCTGGCTGTGAATTTCGCGTTCAAGCTATTCAAAATGGCCGACGAGAGCGTCTCCCCGGAGAATCCGCGCGACGCGCTTCTGCGGCGCGTGAAGGCACTCGCGCCGCGCGTGGTGACGCTGGTGGAGCAGGAGGCGAACGCGAACACGGCGGCATTCGTGGCGCGCGTGGCGGAGTCGTGCGCGTATTACGGCGCGCTGTTCGAGTCGCTAGAGTCGACGATGGAGTCGGAGCGAGTGAGGATCGAGGAGGGGCTGAGTCGGAAGGTGGCGAACTCGGTGGCGTGCGAGGGAAGGGAGCGCGTGGAGCGGTGCGAGGTGTTCGGGAAGTGGCGCGCGCGCATGAGCATGGCTGGGTTCAGGTTGAAGCCGCTGAGTCAAAGGGTGGCTGAGTCTATCAAAGCGCGACTCTTGGCTGCTGGGAACCGTGTCTCCGTTAAAGTCGAGAACGGTGGGATTTCCTTCGGATGGATGGGAAGAACCCTCACCGTCGCTTCTGCTTGGTGTTGACGTTGAATGTTTATTATTTTTAATTAACTCAAAACTTTTTTTTTATTTTTTATTTTCTATGGATATTATATATATACCACATTATAATGTTGTTTAGAGATTATGGAAAGGTTTAAACAATAGAGTTGGAAAATTGTATTAAAGGATATCCGTTCTTCCTTCTTCTTTCTTCCTTCTTCCTTCTACCTTCTACCAAACAAGCAAATAAAAAGTTAAAATTTATGTTGCATTTATGAATATCATGATTCATTCATGTACTTTTACCATCATCACTTCTTTCTTTCAAAGAAGTTGGTTGCAGTTTGGTACAGATACCTTATTCGTGTGCATTATAATAGGATACTTTCTACTTTCTTAATTTAAAAATAAAAATCATTTGTGTTTAACTATACAATACTATTCAGCACGAGGATTCATCAATTATTGAATACAGGGATTGATCAATTTTATGTCCGTGTCACATGAGATATAATCCTATACAATTCTGTATTGTTTCAATTTAAATTTATTTGTGTTTTCTCTATAATTAATATTAGTTTTAGTTAGTGATTTTGTTACGGTAACTTTTAAAAATTATCTCGGTAGAGATATATGATTTATATAAAAAAAATATTTAGATGACTTCAATTTTTAAGGTTAATTAGTAACAAAATTCATCAGAAAATGGTTTTTTATTCATGAAATTTATAACAATTTACATTTTCTTAATTAATTGATTTATACTTACTATAAAGTGTTTCTACTATTGTAAAAATTCCTTGAAATTATTTTAATATAACATTAATTTTAGACTTAAATAATTTTTAAATGCGGGACCAAATATTTATCTAAAATTTATTAACTGGATTTCATTGTTAGTTACGATCATCTAACAAATTAAACATGCATTAAATGTGTATATTTTTTTAAAGAAAAATGTTATTCGTATATCATTCTTTATATGATAATACTTTATTCACAATGAATATTATATCTATTTCATTTCTTTTTCTTCGGCAAAAAGGTAAAATTCTTTTCTCTTTTTTCGGGTGGGTCGTGAGTTGTGCAATTTGCTGCTTATAATTTTCTATTTGGTTATGTAAGCATTATGGATATGCAAGTAGAGATATAATTAGTGATGGGTTTATTTTTTTCATTAATATAAAGGTGGGCTCTTGTTATGATACGTATATATTCTCATAGTGGTTGCTCAGCCAAAAGTAAAAAGGAAAAAATAACATAAGAACCAAAAGAAAGAAATACACCTACATATTATATATTAAAATACACTTCATGTCTTTCTTTGAATACACTTAAATTAGGGGAGTTTTTTTAAAATATATATATTAAAAAACTTTTACAACCTTTATTAATTATTAATAAGTATTATTGTGCACATGTTGCAACGTAAAATTTGTCCTCTAATATTTTGCTCGTTACAACTCCAAGAGTTGCCGATTCTTGCAAAATGGAGAGATTCATATGCAAATTGTCCAAGCGTGTGGAAAGTCTTCTTTATTTTATTAAATATCCACATAAATCTCGTGTTAAGGGTTAGTTGTTTGAGATTAAATAATACACTGGTATAATTGAATTAAATTAATCTGATTTGATAATTAAAGTTTATCGATTAAATTTAAACCCGACAAATTATTTAGAATAAATTAATTAAGTTATTTTATCTATTAAAATTACAATGATAGTTTCAAATTTAAAAATATAAATTTGACTATTTTTCTTTGTGTTTTTTAAATAACCTTACAAAAAACTATTTCTAAAAAAATATATAAATTTCTTAAATGTAAAATTCAATTAATAACCATTTGAGTAAACACTCTTTTAATTTTTGAATTTGAAAAACATTATTACATAAGTCAGTAAAATTAAGAATTTGTTAAATAAATTCTTAAAAGTGCAAACTTAAAAATCAAATTTGTCTAAAATAAAAAAAACGTTGCTAAAATTATAATCTTAATATATACATACAATATGTATATATTTAATAACTAAAATATAATAAGTAAAATTTTTTAAAAATAATTATTTTTAAAAATTATTTATAATTTAAAATTAATATGATAACATCTTCTAAATTTAGGACTAAAGATGACATAATTATTGTGTTTTTACGTAATAAAACTGGTTTGACTTTTAATGAAAATGTGAAATATTTTCAACAACCATGAACTACGAAGGGACCGCTACTAATAGTTTATATGATCTGTAGTTGTAACTATAACAGCAGGGTATGACTCATTCTTCCATTGCCATCATCATAAATCTACAAGTACAGTTTTCCAGGCTATTTTTTTTTTCTTTTAATAAAAGTCCCGAGTGAACGATGTTTCAACTTTAAAAGATTTTGACTTTATTGCACTGTTGGTAGTTTCTTCTTTTGCTTTGACAAAGATGGACTTCTTCTCGTGCTTTTGGGCAACATGTCGGTGATTATCGATTCAAACATCAAATCCAACATTTTTCGGGTCATCGCAGGTTTTTTCCGCGGCACTCTTAGTGCTATTATTAATCTAGCATCTTCAACGCCGGTGTTTATCCATTTCTTAAATTTAAACTCACATTACTTATAACAAATTCACATTAAAACACGTTGACATGATAAGTTAAATTGCAAAAAATTATATAAGAGATAGTTGCTTAATAATAATAAAAAAATTCAACAGGAGGAAACACTGCACCAGATCATGACGACGTCACAGTAGAAGATAATGTGTGTGACTCAAGGAATTCCATCTTCGAAGTTGAACGCGTTTCTTCTGAGGCCATGGCTGATATGAAATCTGCCGTTGATTGCATGGTTTCAAACAATTACACCAGAGAATGCGTCTATATTTACACGATGATGAGAAAATCAATCATCGACTAAGGCATTTATTGCCTCGATGTGGAGGAATGGGGCTTGTTGAAGGTGAACAAAAGTAGGCTGGCAAATGCTCTAGTTGAAAATCAAGAGATGGTTTGAGGCGGTTAAGATCGCGGACCCTGCGGCTCCCCTGCTCAGTGACGCCGGAGGTGGAGGCAATGTTAGATAGAGATCATGCACTTAGTATAATTATTGCAATTCCAATCATAAAAAAAAAAAAAAATGATACATTTGTGAAAAATTAATATAACATTTAATAAAATAAGATTTCAACAATATACCATAGATAATATAATTAATATTCAATGTAACACGACCTAACAATTTTAAACACAAATAATGTTATCGATATAAATATCTTTAAACAATTAATGCATCATTACACATGTCAATTATGAAGATTTTTTTGCTATAAAGGTGAGTAGTCTAAGTGGATAAACCTTATTAAACTATAACGTTTGACCTATCGCAACTAAATCAAGTATTGACAATATTAGGCCTTTGAGAGTGTTACTTGAACAATTTAAATTGATTTCTCATATTCCCCTACTTAAACTTAAAAATCAAACACTATTGTCAGGGTAAAACAACTTAGGTATGAACTTACCATGACATTAACATGTATATCTAAGCTTTACATGGGATTAAACTGCTGACTACCCTCCAAATACTATACATCTTTCAACAATTAATTAAGGACTTTATCTCTCGACTTTATACTTTATTCAATTGGTCACTATATACACATATCAATCGATCTGACCCCATATGGATTCAGAAATTAATTTACTTTCCAAAGGATTTTCAACTTGGGTTCTCAAAACGCCATAACTTACATCCACATAATGGGATGTTTTAATTTTTTAAACAACTTTATTCTCTTTCAATTTTTATGTATCTCAACTAAGACATGTATCATCACCACATGTCTAACAACTTAACAACTATAAACATCATACAACTTTCTAACTTAATCAACTATCAATTGACAACTTAACAACATACAAATCACTATACATTATATGTTAAATCAATGCACAATGAGTTATCATCATACTACATTAATTATGCAAGTGTATCATTATTCATTAACCCTTAAACTACTTAAAACACCAAGTTTTCATTTATCAAATCACGCTCAACGCCAATCTTCTTGCACTCGATGTCAATTGAGACAGAGAGCCTCTAACTCGCCCATGTCCGAAGCCAATCTACCCGTACTTGGCATGGATGTCAATAACACCTAACATGGCTAAATCTACGCTTGACCTCGTTTAGGTAGAGAGCCTAATGTCACCAAGTTAGAGAGCTTTTTGAGTTCTCATGCATGATGCCATTCATTATGTGTTTGACATGACTAAGTCAAAGAACTCCTCATTGGCTCATGTCTAACACTATCGATTCCACGTCCAATATGATTAAGGTAAAGAGTCCCTAACTTGAACCACGTCTAACATAATGAGAATTTTCACACTTGGAAGAATCTCAATTTGGCTCAATTCACCTAAAATTCAAAAATTAACCTACATATAACTCAACATATATGCATCATAAACAATTCAAAATCAACTCCAATAGCAACATGCAACCACTACATTCCAAGAATCACCTAATTCCTTTCAAATATCAATAAGAAAGCCAAAACTCAATTATGACCATCATCTTATCTTAATTTGATCAAACAACCATTCATAAATGATTTCATTCAACAATAAAGCAACAACAACTCAACCATCATCAAACATAAACTTCATTTACCTCCATTTACTTAGAAATCAAAGGAAAAGAGGGAGAACATTGAAATCTCCAAAGTCACCACACAACTTCCTCAACTTGAGATTCTCAACCCATAAAGCTTAAATCTCCAATCTATAGACTTTGATTAGTTGTAGGAAGAGTTTATGATGAATTAGAGGGAATCAAGGAAGAAAGGATTTCTCTAGCTTTAGAAGTCTTCTCATAAAATAATAATTTAATCATATAATCAAACAACTAATTTAAAATACCCAAAACATATAATACTATTGAGAGAAACTATAGTGAGGTAACCATAAAATAAATAGTCGTCGAAAATTTGGATCATGTAAAGGCATGATAACTTAAAGTAAAAAATTAATTACACTTTATTAAGTGTGGTTGATGTTGTTATCCAATTAAAATTGGAGTTTAATTTCAATAATATACACTTATATTTAATGCAAATTTTATTACTACACAATTTATACATATTATTGATGTTAAACTTCAATTTTGATTAGAGAGTAAATACTAACCACACTTAAATAATTGTACCAAAATTTTGTGACGTAACTCCTGCTTAATAAACATTATTTTAATACAGACGAAAATTGAACATGAAAGTATCAATATTGTAACTTAAATTTGATCTTTATTATTATTGTAATTTTTTTATTGATAAACTTTTTTCTTCTTCAAAGAATTTTGACTAAACATTTCAAAATTAATTAAAAGTGTAATTATTAAGAGTTAACATGTGAAAACTTATATAGACAATTAGTTAACAAAAAATATGTTTTTTAAATATAAATTAATTATTAATTGTCAGTTTTTGTACACTACATAAATTATGTCTAGGAAAAAAAAATAAAAAATCATATTTATGATAGAACTTTAAAATATATTAATAAGAATTATAAAATCGAGAACGGTCAAAATGGAAAATTAGTAGTTAACATTTCATTTAGAAAAAGTCGCATATATTTAATATTTTATAATTTAATTTTAATCATTTAAATATAGTATAATGGTACATATTTATTATTTTCATTTTTTTTACACTAAGAAACGCTTTTACTTGATACAATCTTTCTACGATCTATCTAGAAAATGCCAAAATGGTATTTTAGAAAATTGTATGATCAAAAGCCTTTTTTCAGTAATTTTTTTAAAAAATATTTCAACAAATTATTTTTTTTGACAGCATGAACTTAAATTATTATTATTTCCTATCAGTACTTTAAAAAATATTACCATTGAAAATTTGAATAATAAAAAGGTTAGAAATATACGATCTCAATATTAAATCATTAAGTAACTTAAATTATTTATATAAAAGTAACATATCCACTCTTTTGCAATAATAATATAATCAATATATATATATATATATATATATATATATAATATAATATATATAAATAATTATCTTATATATATATATAATTATTGTTTCTTAGGAAAAAGCAGAATTTTTTTATCAAATACATTAAAATGAATAATTGGCTAATTTAGAAGAATAAATAAAGAAAGTGATTAATTGACCAAAAACTAAAAAGAAAGTGATTAGGAAAATAAATTCAGTCTTCTGAACTGAACCGATATCAAGAGTTGGCAAATGCAACGGTAAGAAACCGGGGGTGTTAATGTAATTAGGTTTCTTTTAGGAGGGGCAATAATGTAAAAGACTACTAGTTACCGTTGAAACCCATTGCCGTTCTTATATAAGTGCGGCTTTTGCCTAAACCATGTTTCAACGTGTTTAACAAATAGCGAAAAAGAAAGTGAATTGTTAGAGAAACGAAAGTTATCAGAAACCCAAGAAAGAGTTATTCGTAAGTTTTCGTCTTCCAGTTGTTGTGAGATTTTGATTTTGATTTTGATTGCATGGATGTTTCAACTGATGAGAAACTTTTGGAGGAAACAATTGATCTTGAATGTATGTAGGGTTTAACTGCCTCTCCGTAGTGTGAAGGAATATTTTATATTTTATTAATTTTTTTTTCAGTCATGATAGGAGAAGGAAAAGTATAGTTTGAGATTTTTTAAATCTTGGGTTTGTTTTTGGGGGCGAAAAATTGAAATCTTGAAAGGCTCTTTTCTTTCTTGGAGTCGAAGATATGATTTTAGGGCTCGTCTGTCTGGTTTGATTCAATTGAACATTTGCAAACAAGAATCACAAGAAATGTCTGTCTGGTTTGATTCATTGATGTGGAATATTAGGGTTTTTTATTTGAGGTTTGTGTTAATTTTACCTGTTTACTTAATCCAGTGTGATCAGATGAAGGAACTTGTGAAAATATGACATTCTGAATGGGTAATTTGGTTCCAAGTGATGATTTTGGGCTTTGTAGAGAGAGAAAGAGAGAGGACTGGCTATAAGGATTGTCTAAGATGATTTAACTTTTTCTACATCGTATGCAACATTTTTAAATTTGACATCTTGAATCGGTAATTTGGTTCCTAGTATGAATTTTGGGGCTTGTTTGAGTTTTCCCGAAAATAGATGGACAGGATTAGATATAAAGGTTCTCTAAGATGATATAACCTTCTTAGTTCTTACAATACATGCAGGACGTTCGTTTGAACATTGATCACATTAACACCAATGACAACAAGAGCTGCTCGCATTCTTCAAAACCAAAATATCAATGTCCACGCTAATGGTATTGTTCTGGTTCTTTTGGTTTAAACTTTCCATTATTAATTGTTTTTCTGGATGTGTTTCCTGTTTACCATGCCTAGGCTATAATTCTTAATGCTGGTGCAGGAGCAGGAACTGTTTCTGGGAAGGCAGATTTAGCAGGACAGAAGAAAGCTAGGGCTGGGGGAAGAAAGCCACTTGGAGATCTATCCAATGCAGGGAACCCCATCAACCAATTTGATGGAAAGAAAGCCCTTGATGGTTCGTTGAACAAAGGCAAGCCTTCTGTTAGTCAGGCTTCCAAACTGCTCATGTCAAAGAATCTTGAAAGTGACAAAAGAATTGCCACCAAAGCTTCTGAGAAATCGCTTACTGGTAGCAGGAAAGCACTTTCTGACATTTCAAACTCGGGGAAGCCAATTGTTCCTGAGATAAAAAACAAAAACACCCTGAAACCAAGTTTGTTGATAGAGGAATCTCTTCATCCCAGTGCAATTGCTGAGGAACAAATCTTGCATGATCATAAAAAATGTATCAAATCACAGTTTGAAGCTGCAGATATGCATCAATTCTTCAAGACTGTTGGACTCGAGGATGGTAATTGTTACATTTATAATTAATATGGTGAATTTTAATTGTTAACTAGGGCTACTTTAGAATTTGAATATAGTTTTTGCTGACTGTTGGACTGAGAATGGTAATGCTGTTCATTTCATCTTTGATTGTGCATTTTCATTGGTACTTGGCTTTCTTATTCCTTGATTTATGATTTCATCAGATTCAAATGATCACGTGCCAATTTCCTTTGAACTGTCTGCAATAAGTAAACGGAAGGTTTGTTTGTAGTTTTGCTCATGTTTTTTCTGGGCTATCTTTCCACGTATTGTGTTTCTAACTATTTGTACATCCTTTCAGTCTGAGAGTGCATACTTAGAGTTGGAGGAGGTACCTGAGCGGTTGCCCGAAGTGCAGTTACTATCTGCTCTGCCTGGTTCCCCTGCAACACATTGCAAGACTCCAAGCTTATCAAGTTACCGCACATTGTGGAATGACTCTACTGTCAATTTCAAGTTGATAGAGACACCGAAATTGTTCAAAAATTGATTTCTCCTGCGACAATGTAAAAACTTGATAATGGGTAGTCTAGTAGATATTTTGTGCCCACAGATGTGTTGGCAATGATTGTGGTATTTTTTAAAATTTTTTTGGCAAGACATGTTTTGTTCATCTTAGATTGATAGTTTTTTTTTTCGGTAGGAATTTTCTGCCCCGAGTCATTTCAATGAATGTTTTCTTCATTATGGGCGCAAAACTTTTTCTTTCCAGATTCTGTCCTGAATTTTCGTGATGAAGCAATTCTAATTTGATTCTGATGTTTACTGTTGATGAGTGAACTCAGATAGGAATCTATTTTTATAAACAGCAGAAATATCGTTTGGTGTTCAGATAGAAATTATAAATCAGGACAGTACCGGTACCAAAATACTACTATAAAACAACCAATTAGAAAGACATCAATTTTTATTCAGATGGAAATTAGAAATCAGGACAGAAACTGTATTATTTAATTGTACATTAGACAGACAAACAATTATCAGTTTGTATTCAGATAGGAATTAAAAATAAGAACAGCAACGGTATCAATCTACTCCCATATAAAAACAACCAATTAGAAAGACATCAATTTGTATTCAGATGGAAATTAGAAATCAGGACAGCAACGGTATCAAACTATTAATTAGACAGACATATCAGTTTGTATTTAGATAGAAATAGAAATTAGAAATGAGGACAGCGACGGTATCAAGCTACTCGCATAAAAAAAACCAATTAGAAACTTATGAGTAGGTAGAAATGAGGACAGGATCTGTATCATAGTTGTGTCAGGATCGAACCCATGCTTTTATGGTTTGACAGCATCTGTATCAAACTACTATAAAACAACCGATTAGAGTTTAGGGTTAGTTCCTACGAGATGAGATGATGAACTGTAGGGAGCATTGGGCCCTAAACTGCAAGTAATATGTTCAACAAGAAATTGGTTAGTTGTTGCTAATATTTGGTTATTTCAGTGCCCACCCTTCAATTATGGTCATAATACTCTTGCTGCTAACAAAATGTATCCAATTCCATTGAGTCACTCGTTGCATTAAAAATCAGACTGAATCGCTTGTCAAATCAACTAAACTGTATCCAAATAACCCACCTCTAAACAATTGGTAACCCTTGTGGTTGTTGTCAAGAAAAAAACAAAACAATTGGTAACCCTTGCTGCTACATTTGTTACTCAAGGTGGTAACATGTTTATCAATTTATAAGTTATAACCCAGTATTAGTTCACCTTTTCTTGGCCACAAAACCTCACATAATGGCAGTTTCATTATGGATTGCCGCGATTACAACATTTGCTCATAAAAAGGGATTTGTTGCATAAATAACAATATAGTTTGTGCTTGCATCTTTGTATATTACGCAGTACTAAATACATTAATCAATATCAGATGCCTCCTTACAGCTTTGTATATTACATGGTACAATGCATCTTTGTTCCATCATAAATCTCACTCTAAATCCCCCGTGATACGACTAGGAGTCTAGGAGACTACTTGGTCCCACATTTGTGCCTTAGACGTACCTAAAGGGCATAAAAATCACATTGAATTAAAAAATAAATAAATAAAGAATAGCAACAAATGCGCATAGTATCATCAGGTCATCCAATACATATACCTTTTTCATGTTATTAGTGTTAAACTCTTGCGTCATTGTCTTCATCTTCTCACGGTTTTCCTTTCATTTACAAAATAAAATATGCAGAATCTACACAGGGTAAAAGAAATGATACCAATTGTCAATGAGGTAAATATTCAGGGAATGATGAATCAGGTATACGGGGTTTCCGTGTGAGTGCGCGTAGTCTCTTATGTCCTCATTCTTCGAGGTCGTGAAGTATTGTTTAGAGAGAAAACTCTTCATTATGTCTGGGGATGGGGGAATTGAAGATTCAACACATTTTAAACCTGTCAACTACATCTTTTATAGACCCTGTTTTGGAGAAGTGGAATTACTGTTTCTCTTTTTCAGGCACTACAATACAAACAGTGTCGTTGTGGTGTTGAGCGCTGACAAAGTTGACAAAATTGGTGGCCACTGATGAAATACTCATGCCTACCAGCCTAAGTCCCATATCGGTCAGAAGAGATTGAAATAACATGGTAGCTTTATTATAAAAATGAAACTACAAACATTATAAACTCATACCTTTCTCGGCCTTTTGGCTAAGATCAAGTGTAGTATCTGTTCTTATCAGTTTAATATCTGATATGTGAGTCATTGACTCACACGATATTAAATTAATTTTTTAAAGGGGAGGGTCCAAAACACTAGCTTGCTAGTGGGACTCTCGGGCGTCGCCTATGTCTTGCACTATTGCATAGGCCTGGCGCACCCTACCTATTAAGTTAAAGCTTCTATTGGATCTAGTTTTTTGAGGGTTTTGTAGGATTAGCTGAAGTTATGCTTATTTTTTCAGATTATACATCGTATTTTAAAAGATTAATTATTAAATTTTTATATCTATTAAGTTAAAGCTTCTATTGGATCTAGTTTTTAGATATTTATTCTCTTACCCACTTTAACATGTAGGGTTTTGTAGGATTAGCTGAAGTTATGCTTATTTTTTCAGATTATACATTGTATTTTAAAAGATTAATTATTAAATTTTTATAAAGTTATATAACTTGCTCCTGATCTGGGCTAAATGACCACTCTAGCACATTTTTAAAAATTTATTATCAAAATAATGCTGTTTTGAAACAATTTACATCTATGGGGCTCTTTTATTGGGTGTCGTTATAGGCCATAGCGACACCCAGGATACGTGAGTTTTTTTTTTTAGGCTTGATTGGGCTGGACCAGTGTCGCTATAAGCTTGCCCAGTACGCTTAAGTGGCGCTGTGGCTCACAGCGCCTCATTTTTTTTTTTTTCGTTTTTCAATTATTTTTTACATTATTTTCTTAACAGGCGCTGTGGCCCAGTACGCTTGAGTGGCGCTGTGGCTCACAGTGCCCCATTTTTTTTTTGTTTTTTAATTTTATATTAAATAAAATTAAAACAGAATTAAATTAAATTAAATAAATTAAAAATTTAAATAAACTTATTTTCTAATTAAATAAAATTAAAACAGAATTAAATTAAATAAATTAAAAAATTTAAATAAACTTTTTTTCTAATTAAATAAAATTAAAACAGAATTAAATTAAATAAATTCGAAATTTAAATAAACTTATTTTTTTAATTAAATAAAATTAAAACAGAATTAAAATAAATAAATTCAATATTTAAGCAGAAATAAATTAAACGTATTTTTTTTTTGGTATAACCACCCGGTATCCGAACCACAATGGGCCGACTAATCCGGATTCGGGGCGGGTCCAAGGATTACGGTATTTAAGCCCCTCCCAATCGCCGTTGTGGGGGATCGATCCGCGGACCTCCCTACCAAGTGCAGCCCCATGCTACCACTGCACCAACCAACGTATTTAAAATATTTAAGCAGAAATCAAATTAAACGTATTTAAAATATAAATCAAATTTTTTTTTAATTAACATAAGTGTAAAAAAAAAAAAATTTAACCACAGTGCCACGTGTCAGTGTCTCATTGGCTAAGCACGCGGTGAATTTATTACGCGCCAAGTGAGGCGCTATGAGTTGTAACGCCTCAAATTAGCTGTGGACACGTGTCAGCCTCTGTGTGGTCACGCAGGCGGTCAATTAATGAGGTGCTATGAGTTGCAACGCCTCAAATTAGCTGTGGACACGTGTCAGCCTCTGTGTGGTCACGCAGGCGGTCAATTAATGAGGCGCTATGAGTTGCAACGCCTCAAATTAGCTGTGGACACGTGTCAGCCTCTGTGTGGTCACGCAGGCGGTCAATTAATGAGGCGCTATGAGTTGCAACGCCTCAAATTAGCTGTGGACACGTGTCAGCCTCTGTGTGGTCACGCAGGCGGTCAATTAATGAGGCGCTATGAGTTGCAACGCCTCAAATTAGCTGTGG